TCTGTTATGGGGAATGGAAAAGTTTGGAACCAGATAATGGTGATGGTTGCACAACCTGATTATCATAATGAAAGCCACCAAATGGTTCATGTGAAGAATGGTAAAATGGCAAATTGAAAAAGAAAAAAATACACTTTGTTTGTTTTCTTGTTCTTAGATTTTAACTCAACAAACAACCTTGTTTTATTTAGTTTCCTAAAGAACATTCTCTTGGGCTGCAATATTTTCCCAGAGCTGGGTTTTTCAGGACCCTTGATCTTTCTGTTGGACAAGAAAAGGGCTCTAGGTCTTCCCCCAAAACTGAGCGATTTTCTTGACTTCAGCTTTATTGCGATGTAGCTCATACACAACAGAATGCACCCACAAGCAATGTAGTTTGATGGGCTTTGATAAAATATGTATACTGAGTAATAATCGAGATATAGAAAGAACATTTATTTCCCTGACCTCAGAAAGTTCCCTTGCACACCTCTGTAATCAGCCCCCTGACTTCCTCTGGCATCCACTGCTGTACTTTCTGTTACTATATGTGAGCGCTTCAAAAAGATCACGAAAAAACTGTTATCTTTCAATTCTATTTTTCCCATGAACTGTTGGAAGATCTCCAGTACATTAGTTTTGCCTTTTTTGTAATTTCATATAAATGCATTTAACTCACTGCACCACCAGGTCATGTATACTAAATCGATGTCATCATTTTAAAAGATGTGTGTTGTTAGGTGTCATCGACTCCATTATGGCTCATAGTGTCCCATGTGACAGAGCAGAACTGCCCGGTAGGGTTTTCGAGACTGTACCCTTTCTGGAGCAGGCCACCTGGCCTTCTTCCTGCAGAGTCACTCCAACGCTCAGTTAGCAACTGAACACTTGTACCACCAGGGCTCCTTAAAAGATGTGTGTTGTTGTTAAATGCTGTCAAATCGGTGACCCTATATAGGGTTTCCAAGGAGTGGCTGGTGGATATGAACTGCCAGCCTTGTGGTTACCATTCCAGTGCTTATCCTACAGCACCGCACCAGGACTTTTAACATTGGGAGAGTGAATAAATACCCTTTTACTTTACAATTATTTAAATTAATTGTACTCTCTCTATATGTGTAGCGCTGTGGGTTAATGCACTGGACGGCAAAGTCAGTTTGAACAGTAAGGTCGGCAGTTCAACCTTACCAGCTGCCTCTTGGAAACCCTATACAGGGTTGCTATGGGTGGTTGGAATCAACTCAATGACACTTAACAACATATATATATATATATATA